TAGGGTAGGGTAGGGTAGGGTAGGGTAGGGTAGGGTAGGGTAGGGTAGGGTAGAGTAGAGTAGAGTAGAGTAGAATAGAATAGAATAGAATAGAATAGAATAGAATAGAATAGAATAATTTATTGGCCAAGTGATTAGACACACAAGGAATTTGTCTTAGTGCATTTGCTCTCAGTGTAAATAAAACCAAAGATGCATTCATCAAGAATCATAAGGTATAAATAACACTTAATAATAGTCATAGGGTACAATAAGCAATCAAATCCTACTAGGAAACAGTAAAAAAAAATCATAATGTAAAGTAGCGAACACTTCACGTGATCTTGAGTTTATCCCTCTCTTAATGCAACCAAGGATTGTGTTGGCTTTTTTGACAACTGCCGCACACTGCTAGCTCATATTTAAGTGATTGTCTACTAGGGTTCCAAGACCTCACAGGACTCTCACAGTAACTGCTATTGAGCCAGGTTTCGCCTAATCTGTTCCTGTACATGTGATATTTCTTGCCTAAATGTAAAAACTTACTTTTCTCTACACTGAATTTCATTTTGTTGGATAGGGCCCGGTGTTCATGTCTGTTCACGTGATCTTGATTCTATCCCTCCGTTAATGCAACCAAGGATTACATTGGCTTTTTTTTTTGGCTGGGGGTGAGGTGGGGGTTGGGGGCTTTTCTAATCTAAATGTTGAAACTAGAATGCAAAAAGAAAACGGAAGGTAGAGCTGAGTTTTTGAATAAATCTGTGCCAGGATAGATTCACAAACTTCTTCCTTTCAAGGAAGCGATGTGGGCACAGTTTGAAAAATCAGGTGGAAAAGGCCCTCTAAACTGACAAGAATTGAAGTCACGCGCAGAGAGAGGATTTCAAAAATTACCCTTTTTCTCAGCTAGAAGGGAACGTTTAGAAGCGTGGCAAGATGCCAAGGAAAGCTCTGTGCCAAAATCTTAAACTCCGCATTGTTTGCGTTCCTAATCGCTGCAAGGAGAAGCATTTGCTCGCTCCCTAGACAGATGGAAATTCCGCGCGTGAAGCTTTTCTTGGCATGGAAATGAAACAATGAGAAATGCTGCCTTGATGAAGATGGATGTTTGCATAACAGTGAATGACATAGAAAGTTTGCAGGGGGGTAGGACGAGTAGAGCAGCCTGTCCTTTCTTAGCTAGAAAAATAAGAGGAATTGCCGTAATCGATAATACGTATCTTTGTATCTTGTTTTTTCAAAAATTTGCTTCCATCCCTCACATGCTCCAAATAAGTTGTTTGTTTAAAGTTCAGAAATAGGGGTTAGCTGACTGTCTACATGCTAGAAGAGGAAAAATAACTAGAGGGCTGTTTCTCAAATTCATCCACTTCAAGATGTACGGACTTCAACACCCAGAATTCCCCACTCAGCAAAGCTATTTGCTTAGGGGCAGTGAATCTATGCACTACTAAAGAGTCATAATATGAATTCTATTTCATTTTAATTCTGTGAAAACGCCATGGCAGCATTCGGCTCACCCTGTCTGGGCTTGGAAGTTAACCCGGCATGGGCCTGATTAATATTTGGATGTCAAAACACCCGGAAATGCCAATTCTTGGAGTGAAACTGGGCAGTCATTCCACATCAGCATCAGAAAAAGATGACAAGCAGGCCATTTTCATGCTATGGCCAGGAAAAACAGCCTGGCTGGCTTCACGTTGGCCAGCAGAATTTGAGTTCGCTTTCCATGAAATGAAATTAGCAATAGCACTAGGATTTAGACTTCACAGTGCTTTTACAGCCCTCTCTGAGGGGTTTTACAGAGTCAGCCTATTTGCCCCCAACAATCTGGGTCCTCGTTTTACCGACCTCGGAAGGATGGAAGGCTGAGTCAACCTTGAGCCGGTCAAGATCAAACTCCTGGCAGTGAGCAGTGAGTTAGCCCGCAATACTACCTTCTAACCAACTATGCCACTTAGGTTTCTGTCCCCATTTGGGGGGACATTTTTGCAAGCATGTTACTCGGAAGGTAACTCTGCTCCCACTTAAGCTTCTGGCTTTGATATAGAGATGCTGAGAATCCAGGGATTCCTCCTTGGCATAGAACTAGTTGGAGTAGACTAGTTGGAGTAAACTACTCCTAGGACTGGCTGCAAGGGAATGCTAATCCCTTGTAGCTACTCCTAGTTTACTTTTTTCTGCCTCTCCTTCACCTGCCATGTCCGGGGTCCTTGATGGAAGGGGATACTGATGCTAAACTGATCAAGAACTTAATGTGAACCTAGTGTGGAAGATGTGAGGCAGAAAATATTGTCACGATATTTGACCAAAAGGCAAATCATTTTTTGGCTGCCCTTCCTTCCCCTCTTCCTTCTCCACCTCCTCCTCCTCCTCCTCTTCCTCCTTTTCTTCTCCTCCTCCTCCCTCTTCCACCTCTTCTTCCTCCTCCTCCTGCTACCCAAACAGAGTCTCTCCATGGCTGGGATGTTTGCAAAGGCAGACTTTTGCCTGCCATGCACCTTATCTGGGCTCAAGGCCAACATTGCCAGCAGCTTCCCAGAAACCCTGTTTGGCTGGAAGGCGGCAGAATCCGCTTGGCATCCGATCACAGTGCCAGGACGTGTTTTCTCTTCAGTGGTTGCCGAGTGGTTGCGAAGATTGAAAGGAACTAAGTCTTTCTTGCTGGCAGTTCTGCAGGAAAATGATTTATTAATCTATTTGCTGGATAATATCCCTTGCCTGTCCCTCCAAGCAGGTGACTTTCACAAACCTCTTTCCAACGTTGCCTTCCCAACCACAAATGCACGAAGGAGCTTTGAGTTGAAAAGGAGAAACTGGAAGCTCAAATTCCAGTGTTTGGCTTTTGCAGGTGCAAGAGTGCAGCGGAAAGGCCTGTCACTGACCTGGGGGGTACCGATAGTCCTCAACATACAACTTCCTGTGTTGCCCCCAGTTCAGGTCTGAGCAGGGGTGGGCGCTTGGGGTTCGCAGGGGTTCGGGAGAACCCCTAGCTAAGATTCTGCACAGTTTGGAGAACCGACAAATCCCACTCCTGGCTGGCCCCGCCCACCCCTCCCTTCCCCTCCCCTCCCAGGAGTCCCCATGTGGCCCTTTTGGATGCAGGTAAGCACAGGGCCCGTGTGGAGGCTCAGGGAGGATGAAAAACGGGCCTCCGGAGCCCAGGGAGGCCATTTTTGCCCTCCTGGAGGCTCGAGGAACGCCTTCTGAGCCCGGGGAGGGCAAAAATGCCCTCCCTGCCGTGGTGCAGGAGGCCGACTAGGCCACGCCCACCATGGCCAGGCCCACCCAGCCACCAGGCAGAGAACCCATTGCTAAAATTTTTGAATCCCAGCCCTGGGTCTGAGGTCAATGAAGGACATCAGACACAAGGTGCCGGTTTTGTTTCCTTTTATTGAAGCGCTCCAAGAAAATGGCTCCTGGCCAAAATGCCAAGGGCTCCGAACAATAGAAGAAAGAAAGCTTCATACATTTTTCCCTAAAGCAGATGAAGGGATCAGGCAGGGTATATAAGAAATATCCTCTAATAAACATTTTAGTTACGATTGAACAGTTATTCTATTGGTCTCTAGCCATCCCTATTCCTAAACCTTGGCTAATATCTCCAAGCTTGGCTACTTTAAGCCTTGGCGGACTTCAACTCCCAGAACGGCTGAATTCAACTCCCAGAATGGCTGAATTCAACTCCCAGAATGACTGGGGAATTCTGGGAGTTGAAGTCTGCCAAGGCTTAAAATTGCCCAGGTTGGAGACCCCTGATCTAATACACGTTCTATTTGCTCCAGGCCACCTCTCTTCCTGACTTCTAGCTGAGCTATGCAAGATACCTAATTCTTTGTTACTTTTATCAGCTTCTTAATCACCCAGAATTGTTATAAGCTTTAACACGTGTGCATATTCCCTGTGAACAAGCATTCTTTGTTCTTGCCAGACAGACCCCACAATTACAGGCTTCCTGGTTTTCTTTCAAGTTTTGTGTGTTTTCATGACCTTGCTTTCTTTTAGCCGACAACCTATCGGTCTGTTTTGAACCTTCGACTGAACCCCTGCACCCAATTGGCTGCCATTATTGGAACGGGACAGGCTTGAATTAACACAATTCTTCCCGCTTCAGTCCATCTCTTCCACAGGCCTCTCGGCCTTCCTGTTCAACTTGAGTGGGTGAAGACCCAAGGATGGAGGCCGTGATATTTATCACATAGGCACGGGGGCATCTCTGCTATTTATTTAATTCAGCGTGTCTCAACCTTGGCAACTTTTCAGATTCTCCTGACTGGGGAATCCCGGGAGTTGCAAGTCCATTCATCTTCACATTGCCAAGTTTGAAAACACCGCTTTAGATTTTTAGAGCCAGTTGTCTTTCAGGTAGATTGGATGGCAAGCAGGGGTGGGCTTTTACCAGTTTGGTCCCCGGTTTGGGCAAACCTGTAGCTAGTTCTATGGCCGGTTCCGGTGAACCGGCAAACTCCAACCCTGGTTGGCCCCACCCACCCCACCTCGCCCTTCCCAGGAGTCTCCACGTGGCTCGTTTTGGATGCCGGGTAAGTTGCAGGGCCTGCGTGGAGGCTCAGGGAGGGTGAAAAATGGGCCTCCCAGAGGCTCCAGAAGGCCAGAAATGGGCCTGTTTTCAGCTTCCAGAGGGCCTCCGGACTCTGGGAAGGCTGTTTTCGCCCTCCCGGAGGCTCAAGGAAAGCCTCCAGAGCCCGAGGAGAGCAAAAACACCTCCCTACCTCTCCCCTCCCCTCCCAGAAGTCCCCATGTGGCCCTTTTGGATGCAGGTAAGCACAGGGCCTGTGTGGAGGCTCAGGAAGGCTGGGAAACAGGCCTGTTTCCAGCTTCCAAAGAGCCTCCGGAGCCCAGGGAGGCCATTTTTGCCCTCCCGGAGGCTCGAGGAAAGCCTCCGGAGCCCAGGGAGAGCAAAAACACCCCCCTTGCCATGGTGCAGGAGGCTGACTAGGCCACGCCTACCATGGCCACACCCACCCAGCAACCGGGTAGAGAACCAGCTACTAAAATTCTTGAAGCCTACCCTGTAATGGGAAGTCTCATCAGTCGGATGTGTTAAGCTTGATTTCTCTTTCTTTCGGTTCCTAGCCGGGCCTACTCTTGTCCAGTTGCTCACTTGTTCAATCACCACTGTCCTTCCAGGTTCACATTCCCAACCAATGCAGGGCAGGGGTCCTCCGGATGGCCTCTGAGAACCCAGAGGAGGAACCTGCTGGAGTACCAAGGCCCAGGGACCCAAAAGAGTGGAAGAAAGACCCCAACACCTGCTTTTTTGAAGGTCAACACCAGCCGCATGGCTCCCGCTGGGCTCCGAACTACGACAAGAAATGTTCTATATGCATCTGTCAGGTAGGTGGGCAGACAGTGGAAAAAGCAATTGTTGTTTTCTGGAAGAATTGAAGCATCCAGTTAGAAAGAAGGTAATTTTATGTTTGGGTTCCCATCTATGCTGATATAGGAGTTTGTTGTTGCTGCTGTTGTTGTTGTTTTGTAATTTTGCACAATAAATCAGATGTCAGCCATATTTTACTTGGAAGCTTCGAGGCTACCACATTTAGTGCCTGGGAATTTGGGAGGGGGAATTTAGTAGAGAGGTGGGAAATTAGACTCAACAACATTCCTTTCTCAAAAGGTCAAGGACATGTTACCCTGCACCTGGAGAGGAGTGTCTGGAGCAGTGGTTGCCAACCAGTGAGCTCACTCTTTTGGGCCACGAAAGCAGCGGCCCAGGGGAAGCTCGCTCTTTTTGGCCACAAAAGAAGGAGGCCGGGGGTCAGGCGAGGCGTGCGGGGGAGGGGAAATTAGGACACCCCTCGAAAAGACGGCTTAGCTGTTTCTCAGGGGTCAAAAGAAAAGGAATGTTGCAGGGCAACCAAAGAAGACCCAGCCAATCATCTGGGACTCAACGGGAGGCAGAGAATAGATGGGGGAGGGCGCAGTCAGAGGTGGGATTTGCCGGTTCTCCGAACTACTCAAAATTTCTGCTATTGGTTCTCCAGAACCTGTCAGAACCTACTGAACGCCACCTCTACCGCCAGCTGTCTTGATTCTGTCATTTTGCAAGCAAACTCAGCCCAAGTGAGAATACAATTCTTCCCCTTCCTTTACCTGCCCTAATTCATCCCCTTCTTTCTTCTTTCTCCTTCCGGGTTCCTCAGAAGCGGACGGTGATCTGTGATCCGGTGTTGTGCCAGCCACTCAACTGCTCCCAGCCAGTCCATCAAAGTAATCAGTGCTGCCCTGTGTGTCAAGGTAACGTGGGCAGGGCAGGATTAAGCCTGCAGATGGGATGCTGGGCTCTCTTGTCAGATACAGGCAGTCCTCGGCTTACAACAGTTCATTTAGGGACCATTCCTTTTTTTTTTTAATTTTTCTCACCACATATGGTAATATGAGCCAGGTATCTGATGACATTTCCAACATATTTCAGATTTGTTCTTGAACATTCTTGCTGTTCTTGTCGGGGGGGAAATGCCACCTGTAAAACATCTTATACAAGTTTTCTTTATAAGCTGTTGACATTGTCATTTTATAATTTTGAGACCACAATTTTTGCCATTTCTCTAAATCAATCCCATATCCAAAATTCTTCCCCCAAGCAATCATAGTTTCTTTAACTTCTTCTAGTTTAATTTCTAATGGATATCCATACAGTTTTTTAATTACCTTTTCATCAGTACCTGTCAAAATCTTCTCTAAATCAGTCAATTTATCATAGAAACCTTCTGTTTTAAGATCTTTATCATACCTTGAATATTTAGGGACCATTCAAAGTTACAACAGCGCTGAAAAAAAGTAACATATGACCGTTTTTTTCACACATACGACCATTGCAGCATCTTCCACGGTCCCATTGATTTACATTCGGATGCTTGACAGCTGACTCATGATGGTGGCAGAGTCCTGTGATCTCCTTTTGGGGACCTTCTGACAAGCAAAGCCAATGGGGGAAGCCAAGATTCACTTCACAACCGGGTCACTAATTTTTAACACAACAGCAGTGGTCCACTTAAACAACGGTGGCAGGAAAGCGTGTCAGATTCAGGGCACCCCTGTCTTGCTCAGCAACGGAATTGCTGGGCTCCGTTACAGCCGTCCAAGTCGAGGACTACCTGTTTGCTCTTGAGGACAGTCAGAGGGATGCAGACTAACAGGGGAGCCAATTCCATGGGGATGAACTTTTAAAGGGGGCAAATAATCCCATCTGGGAATTTAAGAACAACCAGAAGGAGCTGCTGCAAAATATTGCCTAGGAATTAGGAATGCACTAACGGATGAGAATGTTCCCGGCTCTTCTTGTTCACTTGGGGCGGGTGAGCAGGAACATTTCCAGACAAAGCAACTCACCCCCTTTTGTTTTTTTTAAACCTTCTAGCAACATATGTTCAATACTTGAAACCTAAAATAGAGGTGATGCAGAGGTTGGGGCTGTGATTTGAGCCATGGCTGCTTCCCTGTCTAGAGAGGGAGGGACATAGTTATAGAGATATAACTAGATATATAGATAGTTATAGAGGGATATAGATAGATATAGATAGTTATAGAGGGAAAGGAAGGAGGGAAGGAAAGAGGGAGGAATGAAGGAGAGGGAGGGAAGGTGGGAGGGTGGGAGGCAGTAGTGGGATTCAATTTTTTTTTAACTACCGGTTCTGTGGGCGTGGCTTGGTGGACGTGGCAGGGAAAGGATACTGCAACATCTCCAGTCAGAGGTGGGATTTGGCGGTTCTCCGAACTACTCAAAATATCCGCTACCGGTTCTTTAGAACTGGTCACAACCTGCTGAATACCCACCTCTGATAGGAAGGAAGGAAGGAAGGGAGAGAGGATGGGAGGGACGAAGAAAGGGTGAGAGGAAGTAAGGGAGGGAGGAAGGGAGAGAGGAAGGGAGGGAGAGAGGAAGGAAGGAAGGGAGAGGAAGGGAGGAAGGGAGAGAGGAAGGGAGGGAGAGGAAGGAAGGGGGGAGGAAGGAAGGGGGGAGGAAGGAAGGGGGAAGGGAGAGAGGAAGGAAGGAAGGGAGAGAGGGAGAGAGGAAGGGAGAGAGGAAGGGAGGGAGGGAGAGAGGAAGGAAGGGGGAGAGGAAGGGAGGAAGGGAGAGAGGGAGGAAGGGAGGGAGGGAGAGAGGAAGGAAGGGAGGGAGAGAGGAAGGAAGGGGGAGAGGAAGGAAGGGGGAAGGGAGAGAGGAAGGAAGGGGGAAGGGTGAGGAAGGGAGGGAGGGAGAGAGGAAGGGAGGGAGGGAGAGAGGAAGGGAGAGAGGAAGGAAGGGGGAGAGGAAGGAAGGGGGAAGGGAGAGAGGAAGGGAGGGAGGATGAGAGGAAGGAAGGAGGGAGAGAGAGAAAGGAAGTGTGACGAAGGAAGGAAAGAAAGGAAAAGGAAAGGGAGGGAAGGAAGGAGGGAGGAGATGGATGGGTGAGTAGATGAAAGGAAGGGAGATGAGTGAGTGAGGAATTGGATGGATGGATGGTAGGCAGGGAGGAGGAGGGGAGGGGAGGGGAAGAGAGCAGAGGAGTCAGGTAGGTGGTTGACAAGAGCCTAGAGAGACCCAGGGAAATATCTGCAGGCACATTGCATCACGGACATCATTCTAGCTAGAAAACGGACACCTGCCCTTTCAAGCCAGAGATTTCTGTCTTCCCCACACCTTAAGTCCCATGCAGGTCAGGCAGAGCTAGTTGGGTAGAAGATGGTTCTGGACGTAGCTTGGAGGGCACTGCCCCACTGACAAGGGGCAGTTTGGGCCAAGCTGCCCAAGGAAGGCCTGGGAAGAAGGAAGCCCCCCCCTCCTGCTGTAGGGGAGTGTAGCTGTCCCAATCACAGCTGAGCCTGGTTTTCTTCCCCTTCCGCCCCTGATGCGTCTGTACCTCCTCTCTTCCCGAACAGAAGAAAATGAAGAACAGAAAAGAGCAGAGAAAATTCGAGACGGCAGCGAAGGTAAAAGCAAGAGTGGGCTGGCTGAGCATTACGGACCTTCTGGTAGAACGAACAGCAAATTCTCTCTTTTTAGCAGTTGCTCTGGCCCCCAAAGTTGCAAAGCGATTTTGTACGCGTACCCTAAAGCCCCTGGGTCGCATGGGAGAGGGGCCTTTAATTATTGCTCAGGGTCACGTTGTCATCAGAGCTAAATTCAAGTGAAATAATTATTCCAGTTTGTATTAAAGAGAAGGTTATGTTTGTCAAGGCTGATGGGTCTAGTGGAGAGGCCTCCAAAATTGGCAACTCTAAGACTTGTGGACTTCATGGCTGGCTGGGAAATTCTGGGAGTTGGAAGTCCACAAGTCCTAAAGTCGTGGGAACCCTGGTCTAATGAACCCAACATGACAAGGGCATGGCTAGCTTCCACAACTGTGAACTGTCCAACCCACTTTAGGTTCTCGCATGGCTACTTAAAAAGGCTTATTTTATTTTATTTACTTTTACTTTACTTTTAACTTAACTTAACTTTAATTTACTTTCACTTTCACCTTTACCTCTACTTTTACTTTACTTTTACACTTACTTTACTTTAACTTTACGTTACTTTTACCTTTACTTTTACCTTTACTTTACCTTACTTTTACTTTACTTTTACCCTTACTTTACTTTAACTTTACTTTACATTTACCTTTACTTTTACCTTTACTTTTACCTTTACTTTTACCTTTACTTTACCTTTATTTTTTTACTTTATTTTTTTTTACTTTACTTTTTTATTTTTTTACTTTACTTTTTATTTTATTTTTTTTTATTCTATGTTATTATTTTTTATTATTTATTTTATTTATTTATTGTATTATCATTTATTAAAATTTTAAAACTGTCCACCTACTTCAGAGAGGGGCTCTACATTTTGTCGAAATGCAGCTAAACGTCTTTTCCCCACTTTTTATACTTCATTTTTATAGTTATTGCTGTTATTTCCATTTTTCCGAATGCTGGCTCGAGTGTTATTGTCGTTGAAAAGGGAGGATAAAAATCGAATAATAAATACTGAAAAAGAATGAAATACTTTTCAGTTGACTTTAGCTCGGGCCTCTGAGGAGGCCTTCCAGATGTTTTGGATTACAACTCCCACGGTCTTATTGGACTTTGCTGCCTCCAACATTGAAATCCATACATCTGGAGGGCATCTGGTTGCCTTGTTTTCACCTTGTTTTGGGAGCTGCTTTGAAAACCTTTGGATCAATGAAAGGGTGAACAATCTATACCACAAATAACAAATGTGTAGTTTCTCTTAGGAAGAATGAAGAAAAGAAACAAGTTGAGATTGTAGCTAAAAGTGTTCCCAGAAGGACATTTCTGTTGGAAACACCACTGCTTAGATCCCAGGAACAGAAGTCCTCCAATCTAAATGGCCTCCCATTAGGAAAAGCTGGTTAAAAAAAAACTTTAGTTGCTTTAGACTGCTTATTTCTTTTAGGAGCCGCTTTCTAAATGTGACTTTGTGTTCATATTAACTGGTCTGTGTTTATTTATATCTATATTTATGCTTATATATGTATCTCTCTGTGTTATATACTCTATATGTAGGTAAATAGGTAGATAAGTAGGTGGGTGGGTGGGAAGGTAGGTAGGTAGGTAGATAGTCAGACAATAGACGATAAATTATAGATGGATGATAGATGATAGATAGATAGATAGATAGATAGATAGATAGATAGATAGATAGATAGATAGATAGACAGACAGGCAGGCAGGCAGGCAGACAGGTAGACAGGCAGATGAGACAATAGATAAATTATAGATGGATGATAGATAGACAGACAGACAGACAATAAATAATAGATAAATTATAGGAAGGTAGATAGGTAATAGTAGCAATAGCACTTAGATTTATACACCGCTTCACAGTGATCTACAGCCCATTTCTAAGAGGTTTACAGAGTCAGTATATTTGCCCCCAACAATCTGGGTTACCCTCATTTTACCCACCTCAGAAGGCTGGAAGGCTGAGTCAACCTTGAGCCTGGTGAGATTCGAACTGCCAAATTGCAGTCAATCAGCAGAATTAGCCTGCAGTACTGCACTCTGACCACTGCGCCACCATGTCTCACAACAGAAAGATAGATGATTGATTGATAGATAGACAGATACTGTAGATAGATGATAGATAGATAAATAGAGAGAGAGAGAGACAGACAAACAGACAGAGATGGACAGACAGAGATAGATAGATAAAGATGGATAGATATAGAGATGAAGATAGATATAGATGATAAATAGAGTTATTGACTAGAACTAATCCTGACCTTTTTATTTTTTTTAGCTTAGCCACAGCTTAGCAAAGAAGAGATGAGGGTTCAGGGCCATTTGGGGACTACAGTTCTAACACTATGATCTACATTGCATTTAAGGCAGATGCTCTGATCCTCTTTCTCTATCTTAGGATGCTATTTTGATGGGGACAAGACGTGGAGACGCGCAGGCACACATTGGCACCCTGTAGTGCCCCCCTTTGGGCTCATCAAATGCGCGATTTGCACCTGCAAGGTAGGAAAGGAACATCACCAGACCTTTGAAAAAGCCCGTTGCACCAGCGGGTTTAACCCAGATGCTGTTAGTCCATTTTGCACAGTCCACTGAAACTATAAAACAAACTGAACGGGCTGGAGTTGGGCAACCTAGGAAACGCCAGAAAAACGTCAGTTGTTTAATTGAGTCTTGGCCCATTTTATGAACTTAGGAAGTTATTAAGCGAATCCCTGCAGTTGGTAAGTTAGTAACACAGGCTTGTTCAGTGAATCCGGCTTCCCCGTTGACTTTGCTTTGTCAGGAAATGGCGAAAGTGGGAATCATGTGACCCTGGGACATTGCAAACTGTCATAAATGCCAAGCGTCCGAATTTGCCAAGTGTCCGAATTTTGATCCTATGGTCCTGGGGATGCTGCAACTGTCATTAGTGTGAAAAATATAAGTCACTTTTTTTTTTCAAATGATCAGTAGAATAAGAATAGAATAGAATAGAATAGAATAGAATAGAATAGAATAGAATAGAATAGAATAGAATAGAATAGAATAGGGAATGGAATGAATAGAGTAGAGTAGAGTAGAGTAGAGTAGAGTAGAGTAGAGTAGAATAGAATAGAATAGAATAGAATAGAATAGAATAGAATAGAATAGAATAGAATAGAATAGAATAGAATTCTTGATTGTCATTGCATTCCACGAATACAATGAAATTTGAAAGCTACTCCAGCACAGTGCCCCAAACACTACATCACAATCAAACTACAGAGTATTTAAAAATTACAACAACAACAACAACAATAATAATAGGACTAAATCACAAATGCCCTGTTTGATTCAAGACAATTACTGCCTTGGAAAAGAAACTGTTTCTCAATCTATTAGTCCTCATTTTAGGACACCTATAATGCCTCCCTGATGGTAACAATGTGAAATATGAATGTCCAGGATGAGAACGGTCTGTGTAGATTTTTAGTGCTCTAGAGAGGAGTCTGGTCTTCACAATCTCTTCCAAAGAAGAAAGAGAGCAACCGATGATTTTTTTTGTGCTGTGTTTATAACTCTCTGGAGCATCTTCTTATCCACTGCAGAGCATCCAGCATACCACACCGTTTACACAGTATGCCAAAATGCTCTCGATGGTAGAACGGTAGAAAGTAACCAGCAACTTCTCACCCAAACTACTCTTTTTCAACAGCCTCAGAAAGTGCAGGCGCTGTTGGGCCTTCTTTGCAGTGGCCAAAGTGTGGACCGACCAAATAAGGTTGTCAGAAATGTGGGTTCCTAGGAATTTAAAACTATGAACTCTTTCCACACAGTCTCCATTGATATATAGTGGGAGAAGCTCTGCTTTGCATCTTCTGAAGTCTATAATCAATTCTTTGGTCTTTTTGATGTTCAGGGCGAGGTTATGACTCTTGTACCACAAGACCAGTCTGAGAACCTCTGACCTATAGCAAGAGGTTCTCAGACTGGTCTTCAATAAATGAATGATTGTAGGTCGAGAACTGCCTATATGGCACTTCATGTAGCCTTGTTGACTCTTAAATGGTTAGGACAGCGGTTCCCAAGTTCTTCTGTTTGAGGATTTGATGGGATTTGTAATCCGCAGGATGTCATGTGCTGGGAATTTGCTCTGTGTGTGTATATGCTGTCCTGGTTCTTTTGGGTGCTAAAATCTCCCCTCTATGATTGCGCAGGGAACCACAGGAGAAGTTCACTGTGAGAAGGTGCAGTGCCCCCAGCTGGCCTGCAGTAACCCCATCCGGGTCAACCCATCTGACTGTTGCAAGCAATGCCCAGGTAAGTGAAACCTGTCAGGTTACACTTTGCCAGCCAGCCCAGTCCTATCCCTACTGCAGGACAGAATGGTGGTAATCGGTTCTCCTTGTAATGTCCCTGTGATGATCCGGGGCATGCCACAAAGTCAACACAGCCAGAGAATAAGTAGGAGTTACTTTATTAGCTCCAACTTTTCCCCCAACATTCTGGTTACTCTCTGGTCTGGAGAAAAACTCACCCATGAACTTGCAACAGCCTTTGGCTGCAGATACTTCAGTCCAAATGTTGTAAACAGAAAACTTCAAATTATAAATCCAACAAGGCAAGATAAGGTAATAAATCTGGCAGAATAAGATAAGGAGTTACAAGGTAGTAAATCAAACCAGTTGGGACGGTGCTCAGATAACAGCAGCCAACACTAGGTGAACTCAGCATTTGTTCCTGACAATCACCCCTCCCATCTGCCGCTCCTTTAAACTCCATCCCCAGGTGTAGCTAATTAAGGGAATCAGGGCCCTTTCCTCCCCTGTAAGCCATGCAACCCATGTTGCTCTCTTCTCCATTCCTCCCTGCGTGCCCTAGGATGAAGAGGGGGTGGGCCTGGGTCTTCCTCTGAACTCCCTCTCCCTTGTTCTACCTCTCCCCTGTTCTGCCCAGCTGGACTTTGCCCTTCCCAGTTTCCTCCACAGCCAATGGAGACATCTTCCTGTTCATCTTCCTTCTCAGAGTCAGACTTTGACAAGGGCATGACAGTCCCAGCAACGTTGAGAAAATGATTCCTTTAGCAGCAGCTCCCCGCTTCTCCAAAATACTTCTTACAGAGTAATCCTCAAATTACTCAAAGCCAGTCTTTGAGTCTGGCTAATACGGGCATATCTCATGACAGTCATAAAGTGGATCACTACAAGACTGGACCCTTTTTTTGCATTTTTTTTTTGTGGTGGTCATTGAGTGAATGGGGCAGTTCCATTTCCCGGTCATGCTGGCTGGGGAATTCTGGGATTTGGAGTCCACCCATCTTAAAGTTGATGAGATTGAAAAAAACAGTGTTGTAAATTGTGCCCAGCAAAGTTGTGGTGGTGCTACAGGACTTTGGAGGCACAGTGATTAGAACGCAGTATTGGAGGCTAACTGTGCCCCACTGCTAGAAGTTCAATCCGGATCGACTCAAGGTTGACTCCGCCTTCCATCCTTCTGAAGTCTGTAAAATGAGGAGCCAGATTGTTGGTGTCAATAGGCAGGATGGATGGATGATGGGTGGATGGATGAATGATTGGTGAATGAATGA